TGTCCAGTGGTCGGCCATGTTGGGGTGTAGTGTTCTATGTATAGAGTATAATAGAATTGTATTATGACCATGTCCAGTGGTTGGTCCTATTGGGGGTATGGTTTCCTTCTCTTCTCTTCTCTTCTCTTCTCTTCTCAACCCTCTTCTTCCTCTTCTTCTCTTCTCTTCCCTTCCCTTCCCTCCCTTCCCTTCCCTTCCCGTCTCTTCTCTTCTCTTCCCTTCCCTTCCTCCCTTCCCTTCCCTTCCCTTCTCTTCTCTTCTCTTCCCTTCCCTTCTCTTCCCTTCCCTTCCCTTCCCTCTCCCTTCTCTTCCCTTCCTCCCTTCCCTCCCCTTCCCTTCCCTTCCTCCCTTCCCTCCCTTCCCTTCCCTTCTCTTCTCTTCCCTTCCCCCTTCCCTTCTCTTCTCATGTTATGGAAACTTTGAGTTTGTTATTGCAGAGCTGAAGAGATTGGGATGGGGTTGGGGATGGGACGTTCTAGCGGGAAGCATGGTCTGCTGAACAGTCTTGGGTGCCTCTAGGAAAGCTATGAGTCAAAAAAACTCTCCCTTCTTGTTTTTTATAGCTCCCACCCTTCTACAACTTCCTTAGCCATTTGATTCATCTTCCCTTTCCATGAATAATACAGCCTGCTTAGTACAAGTGAACCTCAGTCTGTGCTCTGGAGTAATATAATGCTTGGTGCAGACACATGCTGGATGCAGAACCACATGGCTTCTTATGCCCAGCTGTCAAATTCCCCCATAGAAAGAACTATTACATTGAACGTACCTGCAGTGGCAATGGTGGCCTCACACCGATGACCACACGTTTTTATTTGCTATTGCAGTGTAACGCAAAGTGGATATTTTACCAATTTTCTTTGGCTTCACTCACACTATCTGACTCCATAGTAGGTTTTAGAAATGCCTTATGATTATCCCTTCTTAAAATTGAACTCCAGACAGATATAGAAGACACAAATGAGCTCTGTAAGGAGTAAAACATCATTTTATGTATTTTTGTAAACAATGTACCTAATTTGCAATCCCTTTACTGCAGAGCTCAAACTGGGAGAGGGAGAAGTGGAAAAAAAAGAGCCAGTCGGGTGTTTTGTAGACTTCATGGGTTAACAAGGGCAAGCTGATAGGAGGAGAGAGCAGAGTGCTATAGACATGAGCTTCAGAAAGATTTAATAAAGAGATACTGGAACTTCTTTACAAATGCAAGTTTTTCTAACGAGCTCGTTGGCTCTGGTGAGGTGGTTTCCAAAGGAATGGTCTTCTCTCGATGGGCACCCAGAAATGGCTCAAACTACAGACATACAGAAAAGGGTGTCAAACCAAAAGGTGAAAGACTCTTAAATGCTTCTGATTGTGTGTAATTCAATAACATAGGACAGACAACATGTTTCAGGGGCAAACACACTTCCTCTTCATCAGGGCTACAAAATAGATCAAAAAATATTTATACTTGCAGGCAGGGGTGGACTGACCATTTGGAAACTCGGGCACTGCCCGAGGGCCCGGGGTCAGTAGGGGGCCCCATGAGATGCCCCTGGTACCTTTCATACGCTTTTTTGGGAGTGGTTTGAATGTGGGCGAAGACACAGAGGCCCCATGATCCCCTATTGTCCGGGGGCCCCATGAGTTGTCAGTCCACCCCTGTTTCTGATCATGCACAGACTTGCTCGTTCGATTTTTATAGGACGAATACTATACTAATTAAATGAAAATTGGGCGTTATAATAATTAATGAGAAAAACTTTCCAACGTGTCTCTTTGGAAATTTTTATCTGAACGGTCCATATCCGCTCTCAAAACCAATTTTCTAGCACTAGTAGTGGACCCCATGAGATGCCCCTGGTACCTTTTTCATAGGCTTTTTTGAGTTTGGGCAAAGACACAGGGGCCCCATGATCCCCTATTGCCCGGGGGCCCCATGATCCCCTATTGCCCGGGGGCCCCATGAGTTGTCAGTCCGCCCCTGCTTACAGGTATGTCCACATATCCATAAAGTTGAACCAGTCCAGGAATATTAAAAAACCCTTTGCAGTGGGGCTCCCTCTTCCATGCAAGGGTTAAATGTACTTGTGTTGCATAGGGTACCTATGTGTTTTTGGGGGCTAGCCTCCTTCTTCAGAGCTGAGCACACTCCAAGCACACAGACTGACCTGTCCCCATTTACAATCAGGAGCCTGTGGGGCAGACTATCAGACATGTGACCCCTGTGACAGCCAATGACAACGATCGCACGATCAGAAGCTCCACCTCCGCTTAAATCAGAACTAAAGTCAGCAATTTCTACCTCTGCTCCAAAAGGCTCATGCTTGCGAGATCCTTTGCCAGCAGTTTCCACCCGGATTCTTCTGCCTGATGGTCTTTGGCTATCTTAATTGGCCAGAGTGGGACGATATCACTCCCGCACATGTGTGAAAGTCATTCATCCCGGCACATCGGCACTGTGCATGCGCATGGTACAGCCAGGTACACACATTGGGAGATGGTTACTAAAACTGGAGGGTGCAAAATCTGGTGCAGCTGTGGTTGGCAACCAATCAGCTTCCAGGTTTTATTGCCAAAGCTTAAAGTGTTACTAAACCCACAACAGTACAATCAGTCTGTAGATGCAGTAAAGCATGCTAGTTATACTCACTGTGAAACCTAAGGGGTTAACCTTCTGCATTGTGAAAAAATTCTGTTTGATCCTGTCTCTGATCCTCCCCTTCTTCCAGTGTCCCTCTCATATCTACTGATAAAACATATGGTGTGGAGACACTCTGCACATGCTCAGTTTGGTGTGTATTACTAGAGAGCAGTATTGGAGGTAAAACGACACTTCATGAATTATAATTACTGGGTAAATGTAAAATCATGTACTGTAAAATCATCAACTACTGCAAAAAAAATATCTGTACCATGGGAACGTAATCTGGATGCTGATTGGTCTTTTTATATTCAGCTGTGGTTGATGTGATGTGAGTATGTGAATACAATCCCTTTTAGATTGTAAGCTCCCAGGATCAGGGCCCTCCTATCCCTCTTGTATTGAACTGTATTGTTGCTGTATTGTCTCCCGTTACATTGTAAAGCGCTGAGCAAACTGTTGGCGCTATAAATCCTGTATAATAATAATAATAATATATAAATCCTGTATAATAATAATGATAATAATAATAAATAAATCCTGTATAATAATAATATATAAATCCTGTATAATAGTAATAGTATATAAATCCTGTATAATAATAATAATATATAAATCCTGTATAATAATAATAATAATAATAAAAAATAAATCCTGTATAATAATAATGATAATAATAATAATAAATAAATCCTGTATAATAATAATATATATAAAAATCCTGTATAATAATAATAATAATAAAAAATAAATCCTGTATAATAATAATAATAATAATAATATATAAATCCTGTATAATAATAATAATATATAAATCCTGCATAATAATAATAATAATAATATATAAATCCTTTATTATAATAATAATAATAATATATAAATCCTGCATAATAATAATAATAATAATATATAAAATCCTTTATTATAATAATAATAATATATAAATCCTGTATAATAATAATAATAATAATATATAAATCCTGTATAATAATAATAATAATATATAAATCCTGTATAATAATAATAATAATGTAAATCCTGTATAATAATAATGTAAATCTGTATAATAATAATAAATAATTTTATGGTTGGGGGTCACCACAACATGAGGAATTGTATCAAAGGGTCGCGGCATTAGGAAGGTTGAGAACCACTGGCCTAGGGTAACACAACATGGAACAATCACATGACAGTTAAATGGCATAAAAAAGAATAAAATAATGAATTGCAAATAAAAGCATATATAAAAATATATAAAACAAAACCACGCTTTATTATTATACTGTTTTTTTTTTTTCATAAAACTAACTGCCACTAACTAGTTATAACTGTCACTAAGCACATTTCTGCAGTTCATAAGGATAGGTAACATTCCAATCATTCTTCTTGTCGCCGTATCGCTTTTCAGCACAATGGTTCCTCTCTATGGATTATGCTTTTTCCGATGTACGGTAGATATACGTATTATTCGTTATTGAACACAGATCCATTGGTTATTGTTGCCTTTAAGTCCATTCATGTCCTTATTCCATTATGAAAGGTATGCTCATATACTTCCTATGTAAGCACACTTGAAGGTTGATGGAGCCGTAATTGTTTTATTGTTACATGTGCAGCGATCATAGTCGTGTTGGTAATATTTGATACATTGCTGTTCCATCGTTCCATTCTGATATATATACCCCTATGGAGCACTCTTCCTCCTCTGATTCATCGTGTAGCCAATTTGCAAGGACAGCATATGAATAAAGCATTTCATTGCTGCTGAGGATATTATTGGATATTATTGTTTTCTATGTATAGTGGTTTATGTAATGGTATGGTTATGTGCTTTTATTTGCAGTTTGTTATTTCATTCCTATAAGCACCACTTCATGTTATGTCATGTTGATCATGCTGTGTTATGAAATGACATTTTATTACCTACGGTTTGATATTTATGTTTGGAGATAAGTGTGTATTTTTAATTTAATTTTTATGTTTTATATCTACTTGTGATGTCCTGATGAAACGCGTCTTTTTTTTTTTTTTTTATATATATATAAATATGATCAAATTATGAACAATTGAAAGCTTTTTGGACCCTTTCACCTTTTGGTTTGGTGCCCTTTTCTGTGTCTTTGAAAGCCTTTCTTCACTTTTTTTACCCCAGAGGAACCATTGAAATAAATTTGTTAGGTCACAGGGAACCCTTACTAAAACCAGTTAATAAGAGGGTAGGGGGGAGAATGCTGCTTACATTGGTGGTCAGTGGGAAGAATGCTGCTTACATTGGTGGTCAATGGGAAGAATACTCCTTATATTGGTGGTTAGTGGAATGAATGGTCCTTACATTGGTGCTCAATGGGAAGAATGTCCCTTACATTGGTGGTCAGTGGGAAGAATGCTCCTTATATTGGTGATCAGTGGGAAGAATGTCCCTTACATTGGTGGTCAGTGGGAAGAATGCTGCTTACATTGGTGGTCAATGGGAAGAATACTCCTTATATTGGTGGTCAGTGGGAAGAATGCTCCTTACATTGGGGATCAATGGAATGAATGTTCCTCACATTGGTGGTCAGTGGGAAGAATGATCCTTATATTGGTGGTCAGTGGGAAGAATGATCCTTATATTGGGGGTCAGTGGGAAGAATGCTCCTTACATTGGTTATCAGTGAAAAGAATGTTCCTCACATTGGTAGTCATTGGGAAGAATGTCCCTTACATTGGTGGTCAGTGGGAAGAATGTCCCTTTATTGGCGATCAGTGGGAAGAATGCCCCTTAATTGGTGGTTAGTGAGAAGAATGCTCCTTACATTGGTAGTCATTGGGAAGAATGCCCCTTAAATTGGTGATCAGTGGGAAGAATGCTCCTTTTATTGGTAGTCATTGGAAAGAATGCTCCTTACATTGGTGGTCAGTGGGAAGAAAGCTCCTTTTACATTGGTGGTCAGTGGGAAGAATGCTCCTTACATTGGTGATCAGTGGGAAGAATGCTCCTTACATTGGTGGTCAGTGAGAAGAATGGTACTTATGTTGGTGATCAGTGGGAAGAAAGCTCCTTTTATTGGTAGTCATTGGGGAATGCTCCTTACATTGGTGGTCAGTGGGAAGAATGTTCCTTACATTGGTGATCAGTGGGAAGAATGTTCCTTACATTGGTGGTCAGTGGGAAGAATGTCCCTTACATTGGTGATCAGTGGGAAGAATGTTCCTTACATTGGTGATCAGTGGGAAGAATGCTCCTTACATTGGTGGTCAGTGGGAAGAATGCTCCTAACATTGGTGGTCAGTAGGAAGAATTGGCCCCATTCACTAAAGCAGATTGCATGTGGTATTTAGGTGCCCGGCCTCATGTTACCTACCGTATTTGCCGGCATATAAGACGACTGGGCGTATAAGACGACCCCCAACATTTCCACTCAAAATATAGAGTTTGTTATATACTCGCCGTATAAGACTACCCCCTCTTCCGCACACCTTCCACACACCAAATAAAACGTAAAAGAACATCAGATTTGATTTCAACATCTTAATTTATATTCGCAGTATACCCCTGTGTGCATTTATTGTTACCGGTTTCACATGAGTGCCATTAGTATTAGTGCCACTACAGTACCTGTCATTGTCACCATTGTACGCGACCGCAGCGCCTCCGGCCAGTCCCTGCATCTCCCTGTAATTGGCACTAGTGCGCATGTGCGAGCTCTGCATAGACAAGGGGCGGGCCGGAGCGCCGCTGCTTCCCGCCGAGCAGAAAAGGCTGGCACCCCTGTATCACTGCTGATGCTCGCCGCAGCCACGCTGATGACCCGCTGCGGCCGCACTGGATGGTATGTAGAATGAGGTGGGGCGGGCGGGCATCGGGAGGCCACTATGGCAGCTATATCTATCCCAACTGAAGTGCACCCGGCGTATAAGACGACCCCCCCACTTGGAGGCATGTTTTTCAGGGCAAAAAAGTCGTCTTATACGCCGGCAAATACGGTAAATATCACATGCGATCCTGTAATTGTCAATTCACTATGCCGTGTTACGGTATTTACCACAAAACGCTCAGTCAGTACTGCAAAAAACAGCGTTAAACTCAATTCACAAAAGGAAATACATAAATGCATACGTAATTAGGTAGTGGTCCAGGCATGCAATGGTTAGGGAATATGTATGATTTTTAACAGGTTGTTAAGGAGCTGGCAGCCACATGTGTCCTTAACAACCAGTAACTGTCATGGTTGTTAAGGAGCAGGCAGCCATGCATCCCTAACAGCCATGATTCATCTGCTGTCAATTAAAGTAGAAGTCTTCTGCTTCTCCCTTTAACCATTGCTGTGCCACCCTGTAACAGAAATACTGCTACAGGGTGGCACGGGTACTCAAAATCATGTACATATGTGATATTGCAGTTCCAGGTAGGGGGCCATTCGCAGCCTTGGCTGTCACCCAGTGATTGCCGAGTATCTCAGACAGGGGAGAGACATGTGTATAAACAACACATATCTCTCCCCTGTCAGCTCCTGCACACTGCTTTGTATGGCTCTGCATAGCAGAGCCATACAAAGCAGTGTGCTTACAGAGAAACACACACAGCACACAGCTAGCATAATGAAACAGCACACAGGTAACCCTTTGATCGCCCCAGATGTTAACCTCTTCCTGCCCAGTGCCATTAGTACAGTGTCAGTGCTTTTTATTAGCACTGATCACTGTATTGGTGTCACTGGGGATGTCAGTGAGAGCAAGTCAGTTCCCCCCCCCAGTGTCAGAATGCCCGCCGCAGTCCCACTATAAGTCGCTGATTGCCGCCATTACTAGTAAAAAAAAAACAAAAAAACATTCCAGTATCTATACCGCCATTTGTAAACGCTATAACTTTCACCTAAACCAGTGGTTCTCAACCTTTCTAATGCCGCGACCCCTTAATACAGTTCCTCATGTTGTGGTGACCCCCAACCATAAAATTATTTTCGTTGCTACTTCATAACTGTAATTTTGCAGTGGGAGGAGTAGTGCCACGTCATTGGTGTCAGTGGGAGGAATAGTGTCCCATCACTGATGTCAATGGGAGGAATAGTGCCCCATCATTGGTATCAGTGGTAGGAATAGTGCCCCATCATTGGTATCAGTGGTAGGAATAGTGCCCTATCATTGGTGTCAGTGGGAGGAATAGCGCCCCATCATTGGTGTCAGTAGGAGGAATAGTGCCCCATCATAGGTGTAAGTGGGGGGGAATAGTGCCCCATCATTGGTGTCAGTGGGAGGAATAGTGCCCCATAATTGGTGTCAGTGGGAGGAATAGTGCCCCATCATTGGTGTCAGTGGGAGGAATAGTGCCCCATCATAGGTGTCAGTGGGAGGAATAGTGCCCCATCATTGGTGTCAGTGGGAGGAATAGTGCCCCATCATTGGTGTCAGTGGGGGGAATAGTGCCCCATCATTGGTGTCAGTGGGGGGAATAGTGCCCCATCATTGGTGTCAGTGGGGGGAATAGTGCCCCATCATTGGTGTCAGTGGGGGGAATAGTGCCCCATCATTGGTGTCAGTGGGGGGGGGAATAGTGCCCCATCATTGGTGTCAGTGGGGGAATAGTGCCCCATCATTGGTGTCAGTGGGAGGAATAGTGCCCCATCACTGGTGTCAGTGGGAGGAAAAGTGCCCCATCATTGGTATCAGTGGGAGGAATAGTCCCCATCATTGGTATCAGGGGGAGCAATAGTGCCCCAACGTTGGTGTCAGTGGGAGGAATAGTGCCCCATCGTTGGTGTCAGTGGGAAGTATAGTGCCCCATCGTTGGTGTCAGTGGGAGGAATAGTGTCCCATCGTTGGTGTCAGTGGGAGGAATAGTGCCCCATCGTTGGTGTCAGTGGGGAGGAATAGTGCCCCATCGTTGGTGTCAGTGGGAGGAATAGTGCCCCATCTTTGGTGTTAGGGGGAATATAGTGTCCCATCGTTGGTGTCAGTGGGAGGAATAGTGCCCCATCGTTGGTGTCAGTGGGAGGAATAGTGCCCCATCGTTGGTGTCAGTGGGGGAGGAATAGTGCCCCATCGTTGGTATCAGTGGGAGGAATAGTGCCCCATCATTGGTATCAGGGGGAGCAATAGTGCCCCAACGTTTGTGTCAGTGGGAGGAATAGTGCCCCATCATTGGTATCAGGGGGAGCAATAGTGCCCCAACGTTGGTGTCAGTGGAGGAATAGTGCCCCATCGTTGGTGTCAGTGGGAAGTATAGTGCCCCATCGTTGGTGTCAGTGGGAGGAATAGTGTCCCATCGTTGGTGTCAGTGGGAGGAATAGTGCCCCATCGTTGGTGTCAGTGGGAGGAATAGTGCCCCATCGTTGGTGTCAGTGGGAGGAATAGTGCCCCATCTTTGGTGTCAGGGGGAGGAATAGTGTCCCATCGTTGGTGTCAGTGGGAGGAATAGTGCCCCATCGTTGGTGTCAGTGGGAGGAATAGTGCCCCATCGTTGGTGTCAGTGGGAGGAATAGTGCCCCATCATAGGTGTCAGTGGGAGGAATAGTGCCCCATCATAGGTGTCAGTGGGAGGAATAGTGCCCCATCATTGGTGTCAGTGGGAGGAATAGTGCCCCATCATTGGTGTCAGTGGGGGGAATAGTGCCCCATCATTGGTGTCAGTGGGGGGGGATAGTGCCCCATCATTGGTGTCAGTGGGGGGAATAGTGCCCCATCATTGGTGTCAGTGGGGGGAATAGTGCCCCATCATTGGTGTCAGTGGGGGGAATAGTGCCCCATCATTGGTGTCAGTGGGGGGAATAGTGCCCCATCATTGGTGTCAGTGGGAGGAATAGTGCCCCATCACTGGTGTCAGTGGGAGGAAAAGTGCCCCATCATTGGTATCAGTGGGAGGAATAGTGCCCCATCATTGGTATCAGGGGGGAGCAATAGTGCCCCAACGTTGGTGTCAGTGGGAGGAATAGTGCCCCATCGTTGGTGTCAGTGGGAAGTATAGTGCCCCATCGTTGGTGTCAGTGGGAGGAATAGTGTCCCATCGTTGGTGTCAGTGGGAGGAATAGTGCCCCATCGTTGGTGTCAGTGGGAGGAATAGTGCCCCATCGTTGGTGTCAGTGGGAGGAATAGTGCCCCATCTTTGGTGTCAGGGGGAGGAATAGTGTCCCATCGTTGGTGTCAGTGGGAGGAATAGTGCCCCATCGTTGGTGTCAGTGGGAGGAATAGTGCCCGTTGGTGTCAGTGGGGGAGGAATAGTGCCCCATCGTTGGTATCAGTGGGAGGAATAGTGCCCCATCATTGGTATCAGGGGGAGCAATAGTGCCCCAACGTTTGTGTCAGTGGGAGGAATAGTGCCCCATCATTGGTATCAGGGGGAGCAATAGTGCCCCAACGTTGGTGTCAGTGGGAGAGAATAGTGCCCCATCGTTGGTGTCAGTGGGAAGTATAGTGCCCCATCGTTGGTGTCAGTGGGAGGAATAGTGTCCCATCGTTGGTGTCAGTGGGAGGAATAGTGCCCCATCGTTGGTGTCAGTGGGAGGAATAGTGCCCCATCGTTGGTGTCAGTGGGAGGAATAGTGCCCCATCTTTGGTGTCAGGGGGAGGAATAGTGTCCCATCGTTGGTGTCAGTGGGAGGAATAGTGCCCCATCGTTGGTGTCAGTGGGAGGAATAGTGCCCCATCGTTGGTGTCAGTGGGAGGAATAGTGCCCCATCGTTGGTGTCAGTGGGGGGAGGAATAGTGCCCCATCGTTGGTGTCAGTGGGGGAGGAATAGTGCCCCATCGTTGGTGTCAGTGGGAGGAATAGTGCCCCATCGTTGGTGTCAGTGGGAGGAATAGTGCCCCATCGTTGGTATCAGGGGGAGCAATAGTGCCCCAACGTTGGTGTCAGTGGGAGGAATAGTGCCCCATCGTTGGTGTCAGTGGGGGGGAGGAATAGTGCCCCATCGTTGGTGTCAGTGGGGGGAGGAATAGTGCCCCATCGTTGGTGTCAGTGGGGGGAGGAATAGTGCCCCATCGTTGGTGTCAGTGGGGGGAGGAATAGTGCCCCATCGTTGGTGTCAGTGGGGGGAGGAATAGTGCCCCATCGTTGGTGTCAGTGGGGGGAGGAATAGTGCCCATCGTTGGTGTCAGTGGGGGGAGGAATAGTGCCCATCGTTGGTGTCAGTGGGGGGAGGAATAGTGCCCATCGTTGGTGTCAGTGGGGGGAGGAATAGTGCCCATCGTTGGTGTCAGTGGGGGGAGGAATAGTGCCCATCGTTGGTGTCAGTGGGGGGAGGAATAGTGCCCCATCGTTGGTGTCAGTGGGGGGGAATCGTGCCCCATCGTTGGTGTC